TAACCAAGGCATTCTTTGTATATTCTTACAAGGATATGTACCGCTCAACTAAAATATACTTGATACAATTTGTTAATATTTAAAACATTACTGTCATGTGAACCGGGTATAGTTATAGATTATCTTCTTATCATTTTTTTTTTTAACCAAGGCATTCTTTGTATATTCTTACAAGGATATGTACCGCTCAACTGAAATATACTTGGTACAATTTGTTAATATTTAAAACATTACTGTCATGTGAACCGGGTATAGTTATAGATTATCTTCTTATCATTTAAAGGTGAGTCGCTGATGGATGAAAATTAATTAAATATAATAAACTAAGTTAATTAGTATTTACATTTCTTTTATTTCTTTTACCTCAACTACATAAAAATACACAATAACACGGTCAGGGGCAGCCTAAGCAAGTATTTTAATGTAACTTAGTTAAAGTCAGCAGCCCATTGTTCAAATGTACTATAAAAATTACATATATTAATTAGTTACTAAAAAACAAATATTTTGAAAATATAGTTTAATTATTTAGCATAAAAATGCAGTTTAATTATTAGCATAAAATTGGTTTAAAATATATGAAAATGTAGGCCTAGGTTAATATAAATATTACTGTATTGTAATAATAATACATTTCTTGTATAGCGCTTAACATATCTGGCGACAATCCAATAATTTTAACTAAAATACAATCGAAGTACAAAGCATTCACTAATCAAACAACCATTCCTAATTTAACACAATTTCACCAATTTATAATGTCATATCAAAGAACACAAAATACATAAACAAAATTAAATACAACAATAACAAAAAATAATGTGATAATAATAACAATTAAAATAACTATAATAGGGCCTAAAAATAGGATTATTTAACAACATTAAATTATAAACCTGTTAACAAAGAATCATTAACATTGAATAACAACAATAGCAATATAACAATTTGTAAAATATGGCAAAATCAAATATATAATATACAGACTTTTTTGAAATCTCATCCATTTTTTCTTTTTTTTTCTCTCAAGAATTTCAACCTACCTTACTTCTAGAAGTATTTCCTTCTTTAAAGGAAGTTGATTTAATGGAGATCGTCAACAGTCGTAAATGTTTATGTGACTCAATTAAAGAACTCATTAAATTAAAACATCCATTAAATCAACTGGATAGAAGTCAGCCAGACGATCTTCAAGCTGTATTGGAAGAAGAATCGAAAAGTTGCAAAGATGAGAAAAAGAATTGAACTATGCATTGTAAAATTACACAACTTAAGTTTTATATAGCTCCATGAGCCAAAATGTTTGTTTTAGTAATAAATAATTTTACCCAAAACGGGTTATTAACGTTTAAATTAAAAGTGATATTGATACTTTATAATGTTATAATATTGAATAAAAAAGGTAATGATGATAATTTGTATTTATTGATATTGTTTGGTATATGATCATGCCTGCATCTTTATACACATTCATCATCACAAGAACTTGCTTACACCACACATAGTTTTCAAGTTATTAGGCCTACTCCATCCGTAACGTAAACGTTACTTTTTACTTCACCAAACATTAACAAATTATGTTCCAACATATTCCAAACTGCTTCTCTAGGGGCATAACTAATCAGTTCACACCAAAGATCTTATAAACACAAGCGAGCGTTCTCCGCGATTTACGCGTAACAAATAGAAGCGTCGATTTGGCAGCAGAAAGTAATCATTTTTGGGAGAGGGAATCCTAGTTGTTGCCATAGATCTGGAGATAAGGTGTTCGCGTTACGCCTTGTAAATCACGTTCCTTAATTGTACTAAATCGACGCTTCTAATTGTTAAGCCGGTTTTCCATTAGGCGAATTTATTCGCGCGAATCGAAAGCGTTCTTCATGTGCATGCGCATTCACATTCCTATCGGAGTTTTTATGAAGCGAAAAAATGCGCAACCAATCAGAGCTCAGGAAGCGAACCGACGCTTTGATTCGCGCGAATAAATTCGCCTAGTGGAAAACCAGCTTTATGCGTAAAGGTAAATTCGCGCGGTGCGGTGTACGCCATGATCAAAGCAGTCAAAGTTCAAAAGTTTTCATTTTTGCAAGAGGGCGCTGTACACTGCGTTATTACAGAATTTGCACGCGGATATCGCGGAGAACGCTATATTGTGGTTCACACCGAATCCGAATTTACAGATCGGAATGCACTGATCTCTATTATAATAGCTGGATTGCTCATTGGCTGGTTTTAGTGGGGAGCCGGTTAATACACTCCATGATACAGATCGATGTTACAGTGGCCCTATATTTATTGTTTTATAGTAGCAATTCCCAAAATTTACAGCATTCATTTTGAAAAGAAGCCCACCCCAACCCCTTTTTTGCAAAAGTAGCTTCGAAGCCCATCTCGAAAGAAGTCCATCCAAATTTTGCAAAAAAAAAAAAAAAAAAAAAAAAAAAAAATCCTGTCTCTGCATTGCTCAGCCATCTTGTCAGCACTCTAGTTGTTTAATAGCTCTATGGAATTTACAGATCGGAATGCACTGATCTCTATTATAATAGCTGGATTGCTCATTGGCTGGTTTTAGTGGGGAGCCGGTTAATACACTCCATGATACAGATCGATGTTCACACCGAATCCGAATTTACAGATCGGAATGCACTGATCTCTATTATAATAGCTGGATTGCTCATTGGCTGGTTTTAGTGGGGAGCCGGTTAATACACTCCATGATACAGATCGATGTTACAGTGGCCCTATATTTATTGTTTTATAGTAGCAATTCCCAAAATTTACAGCATTCATTTTGAAAAGAAGCCCACCCCAACCCCTTTTTTGCAAAAGTAGCTTCGAAGCCCATCTCGAAAGAAGTCCATCCAAATTTTGCAAAAAAAAAAAAAAAAAAAAAAAAAAGAAGTCCTGGCCCGGAAAAGAAGCCCTGGCCCGGGATTTATCAATCTCAGCTTAGCATATGTCTTAAGTTAAAAAAGTTCAGATGTCCCTAAGAAAATATCTTTCGAGTTTTGAATTTTATGCAATTTTTAAGCTAACGCAATATTGATAAATCGGACTTAAGCAAAAAATGGTCTTAAGACAAATTTAGGCCGATTTCTAGTTTGATAAATCCGACCCCAGGGCTTCTATTCGAGGTTTTACGGTACCTGTACTCAAGAAAGCAGTGCATAGCACTGATATCCCAAATTTTGTCTAAAACTGTTTATTTTTAAATCTAGAATTATATAGGCCTACATAAACACGCGGTAAAATTGAAAAAAATATTCCCTTGGTCTAGCAGAGCGTATTTCCAATGCGTTCCTCATATTTATATTCTTCGTTATTTTTTTCCCCTCATAAAACATGGTTACAGTAATAGTAATTTATCATAAGTATATAAAGAAAATAATACGATTGTAATGTTCGACTAATGTTGTTGTTGTTATTATTATTATTATTATTATTATTATTATTATTATTATTATTATTATTATTATTATTATTATTTACATAATGATCATCTAGTTCAGTATTACTTTAGAAAAGGAATAGATTCGTACGCAGAGCTTGCGTAATTAAAACTCCCTCATGAATACTATCAAGAGGGAAGAACTAGAAGATAAAGTAAACCTTGGTATCAGAAAAATCAAAGTGATTATTACATTTTGTCTTTAAAAATAAACTATTAAAAAGCTTAACGCTTACACAAAATGTAGGCCAAAGTTAAATATGGAGTATAGGCCAATATTAAATTGCTCAATAATGATTGGTTGTAAAATAATATGGAAAGTTAATAGAGTCACGGTAAATATAAGGCAACGTCAGAGGGTAGCAAAAAGTAGTTCTACAATGATCAGAACAACTTGTTTCTTCATTGGATGTATGTGCATTATATTTTTATTTTTATTTTAATTGAGTTAATAGAAGTAAAATAAAAGGTGCACGTCAAAAGTTAAGAATAGGCCTATATCATTATCAACTGAATAACGCATATTTAGAAAACAAACAAATAGTTGTAGAAAGCATTATCAGTCAGGTGTCTTCCGTAGGCACTTTGAATAACAATGGTGTGGATACCAGAACGAACGTTGTATAAATCTCTTAATGATTATTCATTGTCGTTCGACACATAAGAAATTTCGACAAGTGAGCGTCAGATTCAAAACATTACTTTTCCGAGTGGAACAGAGGTAACGTTAATACGGATATTCCCTGTGATAATTCTAGGCCCTGATCATATTAAGATTGAACTGTTGCAACTACGCCATTTGCAATGGATTCCCGTCAAGAAATGATGGTAAGGCGTATTTTGTTTTAACTGAAAAGTTTGTAATGCGGCCAACGTAAATGAGAAAGAAAAATTCCCGCCACATGCAGGCGTTCTTATTTGCCTTTACCGTACAGTATATAATATCTATGCATTCACTTACGCATTAAAACACCCTCTCTTGTATGTGGCTCCGTGGTCATAATGCAAATATCACTATGCCATTATATTGGGCATGACAGGGCTACAATAAACAACATAGCAATGAGCATACAACGACGACATTAGAACTGGTGATCCATCGGCTTATTTATACTGTCAAATCCCTGTCGTTGTCAAAAATACACTGACGCAGTATTACTTAATTGAATACTATAATAATAATAATAAAACAAATAACGTATTCTAGTAGTAGTAGGATTTGTTGTCAAAAATACACTGACGCAGTATTACTTAATTGAATACTGTAATAATAATGATAAAACAAATAACGTATTCTAGTAGTAGTAGGTTTTGTTGCTGGACATGATACAGCAGATTTTATCAGTGCACTATACCTTATTCGTTTGCATTAAAACGAACATATTAATTATTTAGGCGGCGATTCGTTTGATGGTGCAACATGTTGACAGTTTTCGAAGGGGGTAACATCATCAATATCACATTGCTTAAATTAAACCTGCATGCAAATAATTATGTCAAGCTTTACATTTTCATAGGCCTATAACAAAATTTCGCAAACGAGTTAATGCACATGTGCATTTTTTTTTTGTTTAGCGTAAAACCAGGAGTTATGTTACATTTGTTATGTTCACTAGGCACAAGGGCCGATGATTGCCAATAGCTTAATAACTTAATCACTGATAAAAAATAAATAGAAATACTTTCTCAAGACCAACATATGCTTATAAGGCTCTGCATGCCCTGCCTCATGAAGTTTATGTGGTGAGAAAAAAAACATCATTTGACAGGTCTTGAACCCTGAATTTGAAAGCATGCAGTCAAAACCTGCTCCAGTCCGGTTCTAAACCCTACATGGTTGAGCCACCTACCTTCCTAAAATATTACACTAGGTCAATATAAAATTTTACATTTGCCTGAGCGTTGTTGATATAAACAAGTCGTTTTTAGGCAACTATGGCAATCATCGAAAGAAATATTTTACGATACATCAGTACGTTCTCACTATTTCTACCTCAAAACAAAAGACCGTTAGTTGTTACAAAAAGAATATATTGTTGACGGTTGCAGTAGTGGCTGTGGTTATGGCTCTTAATCCTAATTATTAAAGAATATGTACTGCTTAATATAAGTACAGTACTACTAAGTACGGTATGTACCGCTAATGTAAATACTGTACTAAGATTCACGTTGCCTATGACTATGATTACTTGTTTTGAATTATTATTATTGTCCAGACAAAATGAGTGTTTGGTAACGATAGAGCATTACTTGTTTATATGTCCTCTAGCTTGCCAGTGCTCCTGATCCTTTAATTATTGTTGCTTTTAAGCAAATATTGTTTACTCTTGATAAGTACTCTTGTTAAACAGGACATAATCTCTAAACAGCATGGGGATTAGAAATCTCATGTAGTCTCAATGTTCTACTTTTGCTTTACTATATTACGACTCGCCATCTTATATTATAATCCTAAATTATATTCTGTTGTAATTTAATAGTTTCTAATCTAAGCGTCTGAAGTACATACAGTACTACTTTATCTGAACTGTGGCTGCTGAAGGGCGCCCCCATCAAAAATAAAGTTTAGACTATTCCATTGCCTACCGATCCTACATATTTTCACTAATGTTTTGGTGGTTATTTAAACACAATTTAAGAAAAATGATATACGATTTATATATTTGGATTCATATTCAATATATTTTGTTTCATAATAAAGAAACTGGATTAAAAATTAAAAAAAAAACAATCCAATACACTTAAAAATGGAATAATACTCATAAATATTCATTTGAAGTTTATTTCCTTGTTGGGCGTTGATTGGTTGTTACAATCGTCAGCAGAACGTCGCAGAATCAGTGAAACTTGTGAAAGAGTAGTGTGTGTGTGTGTGCATACCTAAGATTAGGTACACTGGAAAAATTGAAAATTTCATTTTTTATTTTTTAGTATCGCCAACTTTACAACTGCTGCTCCGCTCAAACCTGTAGCAATAAAGTTTTCTTTCATGACATCAATTCACTACTGAGCAACAATCTTGATTTGAGTGCAAATATTTGCACTGAATCTGAAGACTTTCTCCGTCGTAGAAGAACTGCTGTGCCGCCACCACCACCATCGGCTGCGAGACCAAAACCAGCATCTCTTGACTATCAACATTGGTCAAGTAAACAACAGCAACAGAGGCAGCATCAGTTATATTACCGACAACAAATAATTTCTCATGACAGTACACCAACATCAACTAGAAATCCAACCGAGAGCACAACTGCACATTCTGTCAATGTTTTAAGAACTAATCTCAAGTTCAGAAACCTTCCTCCTGCAATATCGGACAACGATCTTGTTGGAGAGCAGACAGAAGAACAACGTACGTCGTGTGATGATAATCAGCTAGCCGTCGGAACAGGTAGACGAAAAAATAGGGATTCGTTGTCACCTAACGTTAGTAGTGCATGTGGTGGGATCTGTAGTGCCAGTACTACTGCTACTAATACAATCGTTAACAACGGAAATAGCACATTTTCAGATCTTCAATCTAATAATCCAGGTAAGAATAAGATTTTAGGTGGTATGGCTAGAATTTTTAGGCTAGGGCCCAGGCTAGGCTTAGGGAGGATAGGAGGAGGACTAGGCTAATAAACTCGACTGTATTGTATGTAGTACACTGGAAGACCCTGGCATTACGTATTATATTGATAATTAACATTAATTACGATATTTAGGCCTCATAATCGTTGCATTTGATAAGGCCAACCAAGGCCTTATTAAAGAACAACAATGGGTAAATTTACGTGACCATATAAGAAAAGTATTACTGTTTTAATAAAATTAATGATTTACAAATATGTCTATTACAGATCAATGTGAATTGAATGAGATAGGTTGTCTACCATTCCTTAGCAACATTACCAACATTTTATCAGACGATCTACAACAGCAATCTGAGAGCAGCAAAACAACAATGGCGAGTGCCTTGATGCAACAACAGCCATCTCAAGTCAACGATGAGATAAACATTCCAAAATCACCACTATCTTCGGCAATGTGGAGCCCTTACTCTCAGTGTTCAAATCCAAAGGATGCTATGACACTGGCTAAAATTGACAGCTATCTAAATGGTTCGTTGTCCTCAATCTCAGATTTATCTGGCAATGCCGAAGTAGCAGACATTCTTAATAAAAAGAAGTGTTCTCATAACAGTCCTCAGAGTGACACATCAAGTCTCTGGGACTCAGCTTTTTCACCCCTTAGCCAACAGGATCGCGCAAGATGTATGAGTCCATCTGATTCTGATACAAGTGGTGTCGGCTCTGAAGGTTCTGAGCAAAGCATGGGAAATAACAACACTATACATCTCAATTGTTTGCAAGATATAGTGATGAAAATGGTAAATATTAAGGATGTCTTGCAGTATCACATTTTTTAACATTAAGAATAAGTAATAATATAATTTGTGTGGAAAATATGGAGATCTGTATTACATTTTAGGCGAGACTTTTCATACCTTGTTTAGTGAACCTGCCGCCAATAATGATGATTCAAATAAAAATAAAATTTTATTTTTGGCCAGTTAGAAAGATGGAATATATCAGAAAAAAATAAGTTTTTCTTTATTTTTATTATGCCCACTGCTGCCTTGAAATCTCCAAATATAAGGTGTATATTTCTTCCTAAATTTAAAGCATTTAACCATCCCATTACTACACTTTACATTCAACAATAACATTATATTTTTAATTTCTCCTCCGTCTGGATGCTAAACCGTTCGCTAAATAAGAAACCAAAATTTTATTATCATTTTTTTTCCACCCTACTCTGACGATATTAAAAAAAATAAGTTTGCGAAACTAGGTATAAAAAAGTCTAGCATTAATACCTAATTAATTTATAAAGCTCTTTCCACACTATCAAATTTTATGTAATGAATTATCTTATTTTAACACACATAGACATGATGATATCATATCACACCCATATATGGGCACATCACACACATTTTTCACAGATTTAGTCAGTGCCAAGGAACCAGTTTTTGGATGCCAAGATGAATGGGAGCCTTTTCAAAGGTGTGGATTTAGAACTCTGTATTAGAAACAAGTGGGACCAATAGGAGAGCAGTGAATTTCATTGAATGGGTCACCTCAATCTTCCTATTATTATTTTTTGTTTTACTTTTTCTTTGCTGATAATTGATAATATAGTGCATGCAATAGCAATGATAATACATAACATGCTTACACGAAGAGTAAACTATTATTATTGTACAGGAATCTATTTTATTTATCAAGTGTACGCAAATATTCTCTTTCATTGTGAGATGTTATAATCCTTATAATGATAATTGCTGTGAAGCAGCCAATTCATATTCTTGACAGCAAAATTGACCTCTGAAAGGTCATTGTTTGTCAAAAAATAAGGGCCTAAGAAGACGACTGAAAAGCGGACTTTCCCTCTTTCGTTCTGCCGGGTAAAATCAATTACTTCAGGCGACGTTTGTAGACTAACCAACACGTACCAACGTCCGCATGTCGCGCTAGCCTTATCCTACTCTAAGGCCTAGACTAGCTAGGATGGTATAGGCCTAGCCTTGAAGGGACGAAGGTCCTAATGAAAAACGACGTCGCTCCTTGATAGCTAACATTGTCTATTTAACATCAAAATAATTCATTATTAGACCTATAGTTGTTTTTTGAATTGTAGTCCACAAATCTCAGCCGATACCTCGCACAACTCGAGTAACGTCTCGTATCTATTGTCGTGACGTCATGGCTCGCTGTCTCTCACACTTGCGATGTCTCGCACTTGTGATCAAATAACACGCTGGCTCGCACTTTGGCAACACTCTTTGGCAGTCAACTCGCCCCTAGAAAACCCGCCCTTGGAAACTTGCCCTATAAAAAAATGTACACTTCCTAGACCATGCAGTCTTCAAAATAAAAATTGTAACCTTTGGTAATCAACTACATTTTCCACATACATAGAAATTTTTGAAACTTTATTAAAAAAAACCAAAACCATAAATCACCGCTATAGACACTTTGACAAAAATGAAAAATTACCACTTTGTTACCCAATGAGAAGTGTTCTAATATAGACAATGGGTCGTGTCTCATATTATTTGTTATATTTTTATTTATTCATTATTTTCACTTGACTCGCATAAATAATTTTGTTCGAAGAACATCTACTATGCAGTTGTACTTCGCAGCAATTCACTTGCAATTTGCAATTTCTAGTTACAATAAATATTATTATATGTAGCTTCAGGAAGGATAAACAAAATAATCTTCATATTTTCTAGGAAAGCCTAAAACTGGAACAGAACAGCAACATCCAAAAGCATCCTTGCACAAATGTTCAAAAACAACCCACCTGCACAGGTAGTCAAGAAATACCAATGGTAATGACTGCAACTGTGGTGACAACAGATCTGAACAAGCATGTCCACCCTCCTCTTCACCACTTCAACAACTCAGGTAATATTACCTCAGTCCCAAATATGATTTCACACATGGAGAATACCGGCCCCATTCCCAAAACTCATGGAACCACCGATCCTTACGGAATTGAAAAACTAGCAAGAATGAACAGGAATGCTGCCGGTGAGTGGTTTTTCCAGGTGTCTTAATTTTTATGAGCTCATTAATCCTTCTAATCCATCCTTCTATGCATGTCCATATATAATTTCCTAAACCATATTATTTTCCATTTAAATAAATTTGTTAAACTGTCTGGAATATTTCTGTTAACAAATAATATTAACAAAATAAATTCTCATTTAAAAAAAAATCAAACTTTCAATTAGACAAATCAAACAATTCAATGTTTGTTGATTTACAGACTTTTCAGCTACAAAGTTCTTGAATACCAGCCAATTTATTGGCATTAGAAAAATAAGAAAGGTTTTGTCTTTAAGTTTGTTTATTTTTGTGTGGATAATATCTTGTAATGTTTAATTGAAAGCTATTTAAAATTTAAAATTAATTTATTAGCTGAACTACATCCATATGGGTTTATTTATTAAAAAAATTATTTATTCTCAATAATGTATATAGTTTTATAGTGATAAATATATTGTTATAGTTTGGCTAGCTAGAAAATATAACAAATTTTTATTTCATTGTAGCCTTATGTAACCCTATGTTGGCATGGACAGGACAACTTCCTCCTAAACAATGCAAGAATCCTAGCTACTCTTGTAAGGTATTCATTGGTGGAGTGCCGTGGGATATTACCGAAGGTAAGACGCTGATAAAAGATTACAAAGTTATAACAAGATTTACTTTTTTCAGCATATCAAGTTACTAGATATCTTGTGTTTAAGGTCCTGCAATCAGCTGTAGATATACAGCGATATGAAGTTAGAAATTCCCATTAAAGAAATCAAGTTCAAATTATTTTATCATATTTAATGTGAAGAAACATTGAATTGATCTAAAAAGATTAAAATATATTATCAATTTTGAATAAAACAGATTGAAAGAATTCAGTTTTCACATTAGATTACTACTTTATTATTATTATTAATTTTAACCATTCTGCTAACAGAATATTTGGTGGTCGCTGACGTAAATTGATTACATTGACACTTTAGCAAATAAGACAGTAGGAATACTTATTTTAAACATCTCACAAAAAATACAAAATGGTAGTTTATATGTCTGTTAATTGGATCTTTTTATTCTGATTTTCAATTTATATTAAAATCTTTATTATAGAATGTAATTTAAATTAATAACTATTACAGCAAGTAATTTAAATATTAAATGTTATTCAAGTTGATAATCTCAGCACACAGTATATTTTTCTAGTAAATATTCTTGTAATCATCATTATATTGATAATATATTGATAATGATAATGTAATTATTAATGATTTGATGATGATAAAAGCATACTCTTTATTGGTTATTCCTGTTCGATGTTTGTCTAAAATGAAATTATGCAATAATAAGCCAAAATCTGCACATTGCTCCATCAAAATGACTTATTATATCACACACTAATTTTGGTCTGTGACAAACTATTATACTTAAAATGTTGCCTAATGGAAAGGCAACATTGAGAAAATGAGGGGCGAGATTTTGTGCAATGCAATTCAGGAAATGATTGCACCTGGGTTGATCTTGTGTTGTTGACCTTATCCAGCCTCATAATTTTATCAGGATGATCAAATTTAGTTAACCATTTAAAAGAGCAATTAATAGTTCTAACTGCGCATAGACCTCCAAGTAGGCACAGCCTTTTGGAATCATAATAGTTCTTTATTTTCCCATAAATATTAGTGTATTAGTTGATGAAAATATCCTTTACACTATGCATCACATCGCAGTTTACTATTTTCAGATAATTACGAAGGCCGCCCTAAGTTATAGGCCTATCTAGGCCTAACGTATGGTGTGTGTGTTATGATTGTTTATGTTTATTAAACTTCACTACAGGCGTGCGCAGTTCTATCTACGAATTTGCTTAGTTATTTAAAAGCCATTAAAGTAGTGTGTCTTAACTGGCTATTCACAATAATTTAGCTTCATAATAATATTATATTAAAGTGTTTATTGGAACTATATACAGTAAAAATTGTTTTATTCATCATTTATTATGTCCATAAAACATAAAAAATGTTTTCCTTTGCAGAATGTGTAGAGTTTTACAATACACAGGTCTTCCTCTAATTAAAGACCCCTTCAATTAAAGACCACTTTTCTGTGGTCCCAAATTAACAAATTTCTTTTATCTTTATTCTAATTAGAGACCAAAGCTACTAAAAACCATGGAAACCTTGGTCCCAAAAGTGGTCTTTAATTGAAGGGAGACTTGTATTTAAAATGTGGATCATCAGACAGTTGTTTTATATAACTATATATTAGATAACTGTTTTTTATTATTACTACAATTTGTTGTACTACTGTAATATAAATTATAATTATATATGATAATTTTTAAAACATAAAATGATGTTTAATTCTTGGTAACTGATCAATTAATTTTTAATTCTGTCAATAGCTGGCTTAGTTGCTGCTTTCAGTCAGTTTGGAAATGTGAGGGTTGACTGGCCTGGGAAGGAGGATAACTCCAAATCGATGCCAAAAGGTAAGACCACAAAGTATATTACCATCAATATATCGAATGATAAAAAAAATCCAAGGCCAAGGATTTGAGGCTAATCCATTTCCATCTCATTGTCTCTGGATATTATAAGTATTACCTGCATATATTTTTCATCTTTTCATTTATTGTTGAATATCTGGTACAGTAGAACAGACAACAACTTGAGTATTACTTAGAAAGGTACACAGATAATAGCAGATAAATGATCTACTGTTTTATAATGTGTTTGAGGATGTGATTGAATTTGAACAGGATGCAACCTAAACGAATCACATATTAAACTTTTTACAGAAATATCCCAGTCGGTTATATAAAAATAAAAATATCAGTCAGTGATAAAAAGATAAAAAAAAGCCTAGATAAAGAATCAACTTGATTTGCCAGAGTATTGTCAAAGCACATGAAGGCAGGGAGGTTTCCTTAAAAAATGATCTGTGACAGGTCAAACCAGAAATTACACTACAAACCACAATACACCTTTTTTTTTTTGGTAGTTACAACAGGTAAAGTTTTCAGGAAATCCTGCTAACTTCCCTCTCTCCACAGGCAGGCTACTAAGTCTTTTCATTTCGTGGTATGAAAACAACCACATTTTCTTCTGTACTACCAATTTCCCGGATAATACAATTCAGAATATCTTGGGAAAAACAAACAAATTTCCTTAACTGTAGGTCAAATGGTTGAGACGTAACATTGGTTCTTGTAAAATGGAATTTGCTATCATTTACCTACTGTTCTGCCAGACTTGAAAACTTACATGGTGCATTCATTGTGCGGTAGTACCTATTTCTTCCTATTGTCTTTCCCTTATTAGCTGTAATGAAAAACGCTTAGGTGCTCGAAGATGGCAATTAAGTATTTCATTATCACTTACATTGGAGAAATCTGTTGGGTTTCACTTCCATGTGCTTCAGTGGCGACGCTAGGATTTGCCCAATGGGGGGTCAGACGTCCCCAATGGGATCCAACATTCCTGAGGGAGGAGGGGAAGGCAATGTCCTGGTTGCCTCTACAGAAACTTGAAACACAGCAGAAAATTGACAAATTTGAAAGGCGTATTTAATAAATTATAGGTCTCGCATTCTGTGAAAATTGCATAGAATCTTTTCCTATCTACTAGTTCTCCCCCCCCCCCCCCTCCACCCCTCCCCCTCTTCCCTTACCCGCTTGTCTCAGACTCAAACCCTCAATCTTTTACCTGGTATCTCAAAGCATTGCTACATTGATACTGTTAGAGATTTACTCTTTTTGTTCAGCTAATAAATGGACATTGAATTGCTTATTTGGGACATTCATTGACAAAAACATGAAAATTGACTTTTTAATAAATCCTCCACATTATAAATAAGCTTTAAAATAATGGGTCACTCACTGAAATTGATTTATTATTGCCAAACTTATGAGTAAAATATTACGGCTTCTCTGTACTAAAGTATATAATAGTGCCACATTCGTATGCAAATTACTCAGTTTAACAATTATCGACAGTACGCTGGTTTTTGGGATGGCAGTCCTCATTTTGCAAGCAAGTTGAACATCTAACATTTTAAATTGAATAATTTAAGTTGTCTTTACATATTTGTAGTCCAAATGTATGTAGTAAATCAGCATACACTATATTGTTTGAAAGTTAATAATTGATTGGATCTTTTAAACAAGTCATTTGATGTTTAAATCTGTTATGGTTTGTGTATGTGTTCTTCTAGATTTTTCATTGTTGTAGTCTACAAAATAATAATTATTATATTAGTGACTTAACACAAAACAGTACATTTTCATTTATGATCGCACACATTATACTGACCTACTGTACACTCTCCCTGTAAATCTATTTCCTTTAAAATTTAGAATATATATTTTACAAAGTTTTATAAATATATTTTGATTTTATCACCTGTGTAGAAGACACACCATTACTTGAATAGTACTTGCTTCTCATCTCCACTCCCAGGAAGTAATAGCAACAAAACCAGGATATTCAACTTGCAGTGAACTTACCTGCAACTACCAAGCCCTTATTTAAACATTATTATCCTTATAAAGATTACTCAGCTGTAAAATCTTCCAAAGAAACCGTAATAATATAAAAATATATGAAATTAATTATTAATATTTCAGTATTATTTCATTAAAGCAGTTGTGATGTAATATTTGATAAAATCTTAAAAACCTATACAAATTTTTATTTTCAGTTTAAAGCCCCATAAATATACAAAATAAGCAATGTAAATATTGTATATTATTGCTCAACACAGTATATTTTTAATGTTATGAATTAAAATATTGAAGGTTATATAGTAGTATTCTGAGGTAGTGGTCTTTACTTATAGTTTGTGATCATCCAAAGAAACATATATAATTTGCTAAACATAAAAATCAGTATATATTTCAAATGGCATCCATATGTATTATTTTTGGCTATCCATTATTAACTATTTCGTAAGATGGATAGTAATATACAACTGAATTAAAATTTATGGTAAGGGAGAGCTAAAAAAAAAAAAGCACATGGTTTATAAGTCAGCTACTGTAGGACCATTGACAAAGAAGGTTAATATCCAACCTATATATCAAGCTGTACTGTGGTTTAACTTGCATTCATTCATTCTTTTGTTGTTTACATGTTAAGAGTATTACAGGGACCTTTAAAGGGGAGTGGCCCCCTTAAAGGAGTGAGCACAAGGTTGAAGTGACTTAACACCGATCCTTCTCCAGTGTTAGCAACAGGTGTTCACCAGTTAAGGTCACTGAAGAGGGACCTTCCCGAGTGTCCCTTAAACTGGTGCTAACATTTCGGGGGCTGTTCATATTTATATTAAAATTGACACTAAGCTCAGAGTGTTAAATTGGTAATTATTACTCGGTATTTGATTAAAAGTTGTTTTATTTACAGGCCATGTGTACATCGTGTTGGAATCGGACAGAGCTGTCAAGACTTTGTTGGCTTCGTGTAGACAAGATTTGAGAACTGGAGGATATTATTTTAAAATTGCTAGCAAACGTGCAAGGTGTAAAGAGGTAATTGATTCATCATCATTATTTGTATCAGAGAAATCACAGTTGCTATTGCATCCATCCTCAGTTGGAACAATTTGCTGAAGTAAATGTCATATTGTCATGTTCTTCATCATCATAAAGTAAAAGTGTGAGGTACAGGAAAAATAATTGAGGGCAGTTTAGTCTGTCACTCTAGCATGTGTTCCTTTGCCGTAAGGCGACACTGACTTTTTTTATTCTTTGTTGCGCGTACTTATTTTTTTAAAGATTATCTGAGGAGGGCGGAAAAAAAAATAACAATAAAATTTTGTTTACTTATTTAGCAAATATTTTTGCCAAAATCATCCAGACGGAGGAGAAAATAAAAACAACATTTTATTGGTGAATGTAAAATAGGATGGTTCAATGCTTTAAATTTATATAATTAGGAATAAATATTCATATCTTACCTTTGGAGATTTTAAGGCAGCGGAGGGTGTAATAAAAATAAAGAAAAACTTTGATTTTTTTCTTACATTTCCACTTTTTCATGGTGGAGGGTGCACTAATTGGCCAAAAATAAAATTTTATTTTTATTTGAAATAAAACAAGGTATAAAAAAAGTCTCACCTAAAGAATGCAGTGTAACGAATTTAACAGTTCTATAATCTGAATGAAAAATACATTATATTTTATTGTAAAAAAAAGAAATAAATATTTCTTAATGGCAAAATTCATGGAGGTGGGTAGCAGGCCTGGTGGGTAGGTGTGATAAAAATGAATATCATTTTTTTAATGGGGGTTGTCAACAGGCTGAAAATATTTATTTCTATTTGAAATTTGCTTACCGGTATGTAAATAAATATGTTGGCCAAATTTACAAACCAGTTAATTTAATTTGCTAGCACTGCTTTTAAAATATTTACAATTTTGAAAGTACGAAAAGAGAAAAAATAACAGTACAATAACATTTGTCTTCATAAAGATGGCAATCCCCAATATCCAATGAAGTAACTTCCTGAAATTATTTTCCATGTAGATTCAGGTAATCCCATGGATTTTAGCTGATAGCAACTTCGCAAGATGCCCATCACAAAGACTAGATATTAACAAGACGGTGTTCATAGGAGCACTGCATGGAATGATGAACGCTGAGGGTCTTGCTCATACTATGAACGACCTATTTGGAGGGGTAGTCTATGCTGGAATCGACACAGACAAGTTCAAGTACCCGATAGGTCAGTTGTTCTGCTCACTAACATTGCATTGTGTTGATGCATTACTGCTCAAAAGTCTTTTACCATGCATTGTCGGTGCATTGTGCTGAAAAGAAATACCATTTATATATTTGTTGGTGTCCTTATTACCAAGTTCATTCAGGGATTGTCACAGCTTTCATGAATAATTTTTACACAGTGTTTTTGTTGGAGGGAATACTAAAAATTTACTTTATATCTCTTTCTGCCTGTTAAAAATGTGAAAGAATAAATTTTTATTTGGTTTAAGTAGGCATGCAGATGAAACAATTTGATTTATAGAGTATCTCAAAATTGGAATGGAATTGGACTTATATAATATTTTACAAGGTATAAGAAATTATTATGTACTAAAATTAATCAGCCTTCTAATATACTGAAAGTGCAACATGGATTCCATGCTGGGTGGCAGTTGTCGATGTCCATCTGGAAACTGAAAATTTCTTTTCTTAATTTTGAAATTGGTCTGTCAAAAGCAATATGCCCGACACTTGATGATGGAAGTTTTTTTTATATTTTACTGGTTCCTTTGTGGCTTTTTACTGCTGTTCAATTGTCTAGGTCAATATCGAGCAGAACAAGCAACAAATCATGTACAAAAATACTCGAAGTAACTGGTGTTGTGCAATCCATAATAATAATTCAAGTAGCTACATTACTACAAATAATTAACAATAATTAGGTGTTGTTAGCATTGGACTTTAGTTCAACTCTCGGGAATATAAACAATGCGTGCCAGACTCGCTTTCAAACAGTAGACAGATCACTTAATGCCAACATTCTCTTTCTGGGCATTACGCAATCACTCTTCATGAGTTACCTCTTACAGGTTTATGATAGAAAATGACATGGTTGGGAAATGCTGTAACATGAAAACTCTATTATATTTGACTGTAAAACAATAGCCAAATTATTGGATTTCATTGAAATTTTTATAACATAAATGATGTATATAAAGCAGGGATTTTACAATTATTAAAGCCAAGGAGCCCCCAGCTGATCCCATCTCCCTATTGCCCTGCCTTTACCTATACTCTGTCATTTATTTATGTGTCTAATTGTCTTATCAAAGGTTCTGGGCGAGTTACATTTAACAATATGAAGTGCTACATGAGAGCTGTACAGACTGCCTTTGTGGAAATACGAACAAATAAGTTTAGAAAAACAGTGAGTACATCTGCACAGATAATCCTGTTAGTTGCTTAATTTGTAAATTTTTTTGCTTTCTCTAAGAATATTTATTTGGTAAAATACTGTAAATGGTCATACATATTTGAAAGATAATCTGCTTTACAATGGTATCTACTTTATAAGCAGTTAGGCTACCATATGCATTTTGTTGAATTGTTACTAAATTAAGTAGAATGCTGTAAATTACTAATGTTTTTAACACTTTGAGGCACCTCGAGAGAGGAATTATTGGTGATGTTTCTCATATTACCCTGACTTATGATTATACATGGTACCATGTATAATCCTACAGTACCTGAACCGGATTGTCCCAACAAAAATATCCAGTCATGTTGGGTAATAGCACTCATAGTTAAACACCATGGTGCTTAAATTCAAAATAGATCATCTGTAATAAATGATGCAGCACTTATTTGGGAACAATGCTTATCACAGGGGTTTATTTAAGAGCCGGCGGCCGGCGCATTCGATCGGCTACTACGATGTTTTCGCCGGCTACTTCAATCAATGCTGTACAAAAATTAATACAAAAACTACCAATTACATATAGCACAACAGGACTGTAAAGAACCTTAATCCAGTCATGTTGGGTAATAGCACTCATAGTTAAACACCATGGTGCTTAAATTCAAAATAGATCATCTGTAATAAATGATGCAGCACTTATTTGGGAACAATGCTTATCATAAAAATTGTTGATTAGGGCACTGCTTATTATTTGTTAGATGCACGTATTCGATCATTTACAATATTATATTTGCAATATAATACAATAACAATTCAACATAATTTACTGGTTCTGCCATTTCTACAGGTACAAATTGACCCTTACTTGGAAGATGCCATGTGTAGTATGTGCCAGCTACAACCGGGGATATTTTTCTGTCGGGAGATGGCCTGTTTCAAGTATTATTGCCACTCCTGTTGGCTGTGGCAACACTCGCTGGAGGAGCTCCAATACCATAAACCACTCATGAGAAGCATGCGTGCTAAGGATAGCATTCAGAAACCAGTTTTCCCAATCTTTGCTGAATAAACAACCTTGACCAATATTCGTTGCGGTCTTTTTTCAACAGTTTCAATTGAAAATGAATACACGCCATATTTATTTGCACCGAAAAAAAAAAAAAAGAGGTTTGCTTTATTGGAGGTTTTTTATATGCTTGGAATTCTAAAATTCCTGATTTTCAAAATAATTTTATTCATTGAAATCAAAATAATTTAAAACAAATTATATAGTATAAGTATATTGCAGTTTAATTCAAAAATTATAAAATCCAATTCCAGTGGTATGTAAGATACAGTAGTGTACATAGCTTTATGCCGAATCAATAATACTGACAATAAAAAAAAAAAAGTTTGATAGATAATTATTATGTAGATTATATTTAGTAATTTATAGAATTAAATATTTGTAATTGACCAAATCACACTTTAGGTTGCTTGGAAAATGTAGAGCAATATATTTTAGGCCTTAGACAAAAACTTAATCGTTTGCCTTTGATTTTCGCTTTTAGCAATGTAAGATAATGATTTGTACGAAGTTGATAATGGTTTTGCTGCTTACTTGAACAAAGACCATACATGTACATAATATTGCAAACCATTTATTAATTTTAAAATGAAAGAGTAAAAAAAATTATATTAAAACTGCACTTTTTAGGTAAGGTAACAAAAATTTATTTAGAGAAATGCTATTTATTTCTATTTAGTTTTAGGATAAGTTCTTAGTAATTAGAGTTGCTTAATTAAGGTATGCCAATATTTAAAGTAAGTAAAATTAACACTCAAGTATGGGAATCCACATAAAAACACTCCAAAATCAAGTGTTTTATTACGCATTTTAACACTGGCGAAATAATCTAAATTAAATCTATTTTGGATACGAGTGTTCGCCTTAAAGTTTTATTACTCAATGAATGATTAAAATAATCATTGATTTCGGTTGCTCTGAAATTAGCAAAAATTTGAGTGACTTAACATTAAGGATTTCATTTTAATAATTGAGAAATCCATTGAGTTCTTTCAAATATATATATATTTTTTCTTATTTCATCTTTAATTTACATTGTGATTTTAGTAGATTTGTTTATCATATATTTTATGATTTTAGATTTAAGGTTTTAAAGATATATTTTATATTTTCTGTTATACATTCATCTGATTTTAGAAAAAAAGTATTTAAAAAGATGAAAGTTTTATTTATAATACTAAGGTTTGCGGAGTCTTCAATATTCATATTACTTTTGAAATAATAAAATTATTTCTATCATTTAATCATTATACTTCAATTAACTATATTTAAGGCGAATGAACATAATTTTTCTAACCCCAGAGAAAGAATTTGCAATTCAAAGCATTTTATTTTGTCTATGATCATTTTTTATTTATATGAAGTGCTTCTTTCTCTGGTGATGTTACTTTCATAGTCGCATATAAAAGAGAGATAGTGTCCATCATCTTACTGTATAAACCAATGATTTAGCAAGGATATTAACCAACATTCATCACTCATGATTCAAAGGATGGCATAATCTATATTTTAAATATTTTTCTTTCATTTTTTTTCTTTTAAGTATATTTATTCCTTACTGTTATAGAATTTGTCATAATATTTTTTTATACATAAAAAAAGGCCAGATTAAAAATGGAATGCAGGTATTTTGTCTTTACCAATTTTGTCAAATATAGCAAACAAAAATGATGTTAAAAACTACATTCCATTAGTTAAATTTTAGAGTGTTGAATATCTGGGTTTTTGAGGTTGATCAAAAGTATGAATATATCCATTTGCTTGTTGATATAAGAATGTGTGAGTAAGCCTTGTCCATCTATGGCATCTTAGTTCAATGTTTGTGTACTGTTCATTATAAATATATTTTTTTTAATACAATCCAGAAAAACTATGCAAAAGTTTTAAACAGTTTTACTCAAAAATGTTTTTATATTTAAAAATATACATAAGGTACCTCTAAAATCTCATGAATGGTTTTTATTTGGAAAAATGTTCAAAATGGACTTTGATATAAAAAAGATTTTGGATCAAGAGTTTGTCGTGTTTTATCGATGTTTATCCTGAAATAAATTCAGAATAATTATTTGTTGTGCTTGTAAAATGGCAAGAGGAAGAGGTTTATGGTGGCAGATTGATGTGATGCAATGGTATTAGTGTAGCATGTCTGTAGCATAGCTTACAGCTTGTAGCAGAGGTAATTTAACAGTACCTAAAGCTTAGCATAATTGTAGCATAGCATGCCAGGAATTACCCATAACATAGTGTTTATAGCAACAAGTGCCTTTAGTATAGCATGTAATATTATGCAAGCTGGGTTTAGAACAGATGGGTCTGGGATATTCAGTGTTTAATATTTTTAATCGAAAAAATGCTTATGTTTTATGAATAAGCTGTTTTAAGGTAATTTGTATAAAAGATTGGTTTAAAATTTTAAGAAATTTAACATCGAATATTCCATTGTGTGGATACTGGGTGCAGTTTTAACATGTGTGCTGTTTGATCAGATCTTGTCATGTTGATCAATCATTTTATATAAATTGTGATTAAAATAAGGTTTGTTGTATGTTAGAAATATTCTTGGCAACTTCTAAATATTGTGTAAAGATTTTCAAAACGTTGCTATTTTATGAAAGATTTAAACAAGTAGAAAGTTTTACCACCTACTAGCACCAGTAGTGTTTTTAAAGTTTTAAAATAATAATCTCAAAGTTATTTATTAAGAAAATTGAAATAAATTGTAGATAATGACTTTTTTAGATATTAATATTAAGATTGCCTTTTAACTACTGGGATATCGTATTAACAGCATGCATGCAAGATTTAATAAAAGAGAAAATAGAAAAGTTGAAGAAATACAGTAATAATAAAGACTTGGGTTATTTCAAAAAACCAAAATACTGTAGCTGAAGAACTAGAATGGAAGTCATTGATTCCTAAAAGCAACATATTAAAGTTATTGTTGAAAATTTCAACTTTTGGTGTTTTGGACTTTTTCGAATGTGAACAAGTTAATGTTTTATGATGATCATGAGACGTTTCACAATAAATATTATGTTTCTCAATGACAATCAATCAAAATCAGATCTTGAATTTATTTCTCTAATGTCAACATTGGTAAATATTTACAAAGTCAACAGGTAATCTTCGACAACGATAGAAGAGATGACACTATCTAATGTGACAGTACGTGTTGAATGCAACAACCGTACTTTTGCCATTACTGTTCCCATCTTGGGTGTTGGGGATTAATGCAGGATTTGGCCCATGGTGGTGTATGAAAGTCCACACCCCCACCAACCACAGTTTGGGCTGCAGTTATTGAGAATATGGTGCACATAGATTTTCCTGAAAACGTTTTTCTAATTGTTTTTATGTGATTCACCTCAACACGGATATAATATTATGTTTGGGGATGATATGATGTTAAAGCTTGACCCTGCTCCGTGTTACAAGATTACACAACCAGCTGTACTGTATTTACTTTTGATAATTTTTAGTACAGTGTACACTATTAGTAACTATATTTATGTGATTGAAATATAAATCCATTAAACCTAATGGCCTAGAAGCAGGTAATTGCAATTATGAACTCTTCCAAAACACTTTTATTAAATATATATTGTTATTGTTATTACTAAGCCCTGTAAGCTGCTGATTGGTCCACTATGATTGCTTTGTTGGCTACATCTGTGCATGACTGTAGTATATAATTCTGCTATTGTTCACCACAGCATTAAAAAAAAAAAAACCAACACACCTAGATATTCTTCGAAAGTATTACATTATATAATTTCTTTGTACTGTACATGACTCCCTGGATTGCTCTCAAGTATATTTCTTTTTATTATCAATACAACAATTCTAAATTTTTTTAGTAAAGTCAATATAGTTTAATGTATTATTTTTTAAAAAATAGTCTGGCTTCATTTTTCAACATAACAGATTTGTTTGGTATATAAAGTAAATAAAAACTTTTAAATTCGCCTTCAGTTTTGCTCAAGTTTGGCTGTGTACTTTTCCAGCGGGTTATCCCTTACATACTTCTGGAGGTATGTACATGAGAGCCTAATTGATAAGTCTTGGCTTGAAAAATAGTCGAGGGCAGCCTAAAAAGAGAATAGACAAACAAAATAAAATTCCAAACTACTTGTTGATCAAATGAATGATGGCTCTTGTAAACAAAACAATAATGAAGGAAACAGTGCTTTATGAATCAATATAGTACCGGTAGTTAAAAATTAAACCAAGTGCCCTATCTAGGTTTAATCTACAGGGCTGGGGTCCAGTGCATTTATCATCTGAAACATGGGAGAATATACCGGAATATTTTCATGGGACTGCTGTATTTTGATGCTTGATATATCTGAGAGAGGAAGGAAATTTATAAAACCTAATAAAATGACTGCCAATTCTACATTTTGATTCATGTTCTATTCCATACAGATGAACTAGCAAATTTCCATGCGCAAAACTTAGATGAAGGAATTACTGCAATTATGTTGATTCACATCCTACTTGGGAACGTACCTTAGCAAGATGCTTTGCCACACCTTTTCCCCTATATGCCTCCGGTACACCGGTGTGGTACATGTCAACTATATTTCCTGGAAGGTGGTCATACTGTAAAACGGCTGGTTCACTACTACCTGTAAAAAAATAAATTTTCAGAAGAACGCTAATATGCAATGTTTCCTGGTTGACTTGTCAGTGGAATGAATCATGTAAATATAGATTACTAATTAATCTTGAGGCCATAAAAAGTAACACAAACTTCTAGTTGATGCAATATTATTGTTGGTTTATGATTTGCATTAATCTGTTTACTCTTAAGGGGCAAGTAGATGAGGCCCCACAAAAGAGCCTCGGTCGACAGACTGGAATAAAAAAAATCCTCGGTAGGGTTCACAGAGAGAGTTTTAATGGCTTAGTATGCTCCAAATTGTGCTTTTAGACCACAATGTTATGGATTAGCAATCAAAATAACGTGATGTGGATAGGAACATTTTTTTTAATTTTTTTTAATTGTTGATCCGACAACCTAGTCGTGGTGTCAGATGACAGGGGGTTCAGGCCTATCTGCTGACAATTAAGGCAAAATTCCACCCTGTCTCCCTCCCCCGCTGGTCCCACCACTGCCCCGTGTACGCCTTCACAACAAATACCGGCGGCAGTATTCCAGACTGCTGAATCCAGGGCCTGAACGCCATCATTCACACCTTCTGTATACAGTATATAAATAATTTTGAATTAGTTTAAACTTAATAACACATAGTGCAGCCGTTAGAAGGTCAGCACCTGCAATACTCAAACAAGGTCAGAGTTGAAGTGCGCCCTCACTAATCAACACAAAAATGCTATGCTCTAAGGCTTAACGCCAGGTCACACCTACACCGATACCGATACGATAAAAATTATGTGGTGTAAATTAATGGAAGTGGTCACACTATAACGATAACGATACGATTATCGTGAGCGATAAAGTTATCGTATCGGTCGAATCACTTTTGAAGCGATTTTTTTAATACTTAATAGTTATCGGCAACGATAAACGTATTAGCCAATCAGATGAGGGTAGTCAGGGAACTACTAGATGAATGTAGCAAAGATACTAGAAATACAAGATAGAGTTCTCCACACAAAAAAAGTGTTCCACCGTGTTCCACCGAAATGCATG